GAAAATAACTTCGAAACATCTAGGCAGATTTGATGTGTTCGGTAGAAACCGTTGTTCAATGAAATTAGGAAATCACTTCGGTGGGTAACAGCAGTGTCTTACGCACAGGGACGAGAATTTATGTATCGCAAAGTTGTTGCTGTTAGTGTCGGTAATAACGGCCTATGCTACACGCGCATCATAAAATGCTGTGATTTACCGAGTGTCTAGCAATTTTATAAACGAAATACCTACTTTGCCCTAGCGTTGAACCAAGGCCTCCTGTGTTTGATATCGTATCTAATTACTTCGTTTAGTCTCATCGGTTGTTGTACTGTTAGTGAAGTAACCGCACCTACGTGCCATAATAAACTGTTCTGGCTATGGACTGGACTTGAAATCTGCGCATCCGCAATTCCTGTTCGTGGTTTCCGAGACTCAAAGTCGTCATTCGTGATTGAGAATTTGGGTCGTCTAAGCAAGCATTTCGAGAGCACCAAACCCGTGCTAGATCGTGAGCTATTTGTTAGTTTCAGCTGCCTGGGATGGTAATTTCAATTGTGACCACGAAAAGCGGACATTTAAGTCAGGCAGCGAGTTCTAATGACTCAATGTGACCTCGTTAACGGGTTATCCCTTATTGCTTGAACACCACGATTGTTGACTTATGTCGATGCTAAGTTAAGTCTTCTGCAGGAACAAGCCGGACACAGGTCGGTTGTTTTTGTGTCCGGAGACCATTCGCTATGTCTGGAATCAGGCAAGCGTGTAGTTCGTGTGAGGAAGCATTCACCGACACACAATTCCCCGGGGCCTGTGTGGGTAGACACGGGGATGCTGGAATGCGTCTGTTTTGCATGACGAAACGATTTCACCACTGTGCCCGACTTTGTAAACAGGGCCGCATGCGAGTGAATTGCGCACTGTTAGTTTAAATACTACTCTGTCTGAGTGGGTTTATGCCGAATTCGTGGGCCGTTTTCTGGTCGCTAGATGTGCATGCCTTCACTCATTCCTTAACATTGTTGCCCGATTCAAGAGTGCACCGTAATGCAGTTTACTAGCAAGGTTTAAATACCACACCTTCGAAACTGCTGTGCAGTCATGCTTTTGAAAAATCTTCGGTTGTCATTCGCGTAATTCCCTGTCCAGATTCCCGTAGCACTTGAACGCTGTGTGATTGTGTGTCTGCTATTTGAATGCCGATCGTGAGTACTGGGTAAGTAGTGTGCCTCTGTTTTTAGTGCGAAAAGCCGGTCGCATATCAGCTGGATCTTGACCTCTCCTATCCTGTGGATCCGGATAAAGGCAAAGCCAAATTTAACAAGGCCAACAGCAAACTCTTGCTCACGCTTCCCGTTATACCCGCTGAAAAACCAAGTCTACCGATGTCTCACGTTGACGAAACACAAGACAACCAACCAACGAATGACCCGCAGCCCCTAATCGAGGTACTGTCGTCTACAGCTGCACCAGAAGATGGAAGTAGCAATTGTAAAAAACGGAGGCGAAAAAGGAACAAGAGACGGGCAGAAGCGGGTGTCGGAGTCAAACCCGGGGTCACTGCAAGCAGTGATTCTGAATCGGGTTCAGGTCTGATTGAAAAAACCTCGAAAACTGACACCAATCATGGTGACGAGTCGACTGCCCAGGCACAGTGTTCGGTTAAAACGGAAAAGCTACCACCCTCGAGGTTGGTGGTTCCGAAAACGTAGTAAGTAACCCAGTCCCATAAATTTCGTCAGGTGACACGTCCTGATCTGCCCTGTACACCGTTGTAGCTCATTGGCCTTAGTTCGAGTTCGTCAGGATCCGGCCTCCTTCGTAGTGGTTCTCTCCGTCCGCAACGTCCTTCCCACTTCCCTGGAGCTGACGTGGTCCGGCTTTAGCCACAAGGCCGACGATCCCTCCTACTGTCCTCTCCGTCTGATGCTGACCTGTGCGAGTCGTGGGGGCGGTGGTTGTACCCTCAATTGGGGTGTTGTTCTCCACTGTCCGGCCCCCAGACCCGACACACCGCCCGGTGATGCCGGCGGCGGCGTCGACGACGATGACGGTGAGCTGGGCGAGCCGCGTTTGCTTCGCTGCGACGTCTCCACCAACAATGTGGCCCTCATCTTCGAGAAACCCGCCGCCTGTGGCTGGTGGGACTCTGTTGCGATTGGTCGTGCCCTCGGACCAGGCCTACAGGTACAATTACCTTATTCCACCCGTATCTATAAGTCATTGTGCTTTAAAATCGTGTTTCTGTAGTGATTGGGTTGGGAGAATGTCATGTAGGCTGCCTTTTCCATCATACGACTCAATGTTTAACCCCTATTAAACTGCTCTTCTCTGAGTGCCGTGCTGTGTTTCCTTAGTTTTACGACCTCCCATCATTTGGTGCTATTTGTTTTCTATTCAAAGCCAGTGGTGCTTGTTTGCGCATCGTAGTGTTTTAAAGCGCGTTTAATGTATTTTGATTGGACCAGGAGGTGCCGGTTATGGCAGCCGCGCCTGACTTGACCGACCTATCGGTGTGTCCAGCCAACGGCGCTGGGCAAAGGTCACGCCTCTGCCTCACTGTCCACTCATCCGACTGCGTTGAGTTGTCAAGCAAACCGAGCTTGGAAGGCCAGAATCAAACCGAAGCACCGCCGGAAGCTGCAGTTCAGCCTTCAGCTCCTCCTCCTCCGACTACCTGCAGGAAACCGTGTGCCGACTCGGACACGGTGGTGCCTCTGAAGGGAATTCTGAAACAACGCTCAATATCAGGTGACGGGGGCGGTAGTTTTTGGTTTCTTTTAATCCGTCAAAAGTTCATGCCGAACACTTCTCAGATCAATTTGCGTTTGAGCAAACCAAAGATATCTTGGAGATTGCGGGGGAGGCTGTTTTGATGCTAGGTGTATGGCTTCCTTTTTAAAGATTTTTCAGCAAAATAATTTTTTTTAAATATAGAACACCGAACTTAGGTTTGAAAACATTATCCATGGTTTTCTATTACCTTGCGCCACTAATTCACGCTCATCGTCCGGCGTTTTGAACTGTTTATTCACTATGGGAATTCTCGTAAAAAAATGTGCTTTTCATCACCCGACATAGTTTTCCACAATGGGTCTATTGATTGCCTGTTATTGGTGAGCAAGCTTTGAAAAGCATGTGTTCACACGTTGACCTAAGGTAATTTCGGTCAACACATGGTGGGGACCGAAATTCTCAATGTTTTAAATGTTTTCCCATAAGATGTAAGCGCTTGGAAACAGCTATTTGGGTGACTCCTAACTGAGCTGGTGCAAGCTCTTGTTGCATTTGCGTCGAGTCTTCACTTGAGCAGACCTTCCAACTCTGGTTCTTCAAACTTCCGAGGCGCGGCTGATCACGAAGATCGAATTCACCACTTCCAAAACGTTGACACCAAGGACACTTCAAATTGATCCCCCCGTTCTTTGGAAGCGCTTTTTCCTTGTTGGAAGTCGTATCAGATGCAGTGCCATGCAATGCGCTGTTCATCTGTTGCCATCGTCGTAAACTCTAGCATTCGGAGAGGTTGTGTAACTCACGTAGACTTGTTGTTCAGTATGCTGAAATCTTGCGAGCGATCCTTTCAAAACCACAAAGTATAACTTTAAGCTCTAAGAGGAGAGTCTGCAGAAATTGAGTCATACACTTATTAGTGGTATTCCAGCTTGCCTCTTAAGTTAAGGGTTCGAAGTCATCTGCCGATCCGTAGTGCCACCTTGCGTCTGGTCTGTGTTAAAGGCAATATTCCTAACCCCAGGTTTTCATCATGGCACCTCAAGTTGTTCTGATATGTTATTCCACCCGGCTGTATTATATTTAACACAGCAGAAATGATTTATTTCCTGTGTCGTATTGCAGAAAGCAGCCTGGATGGTAACATCCAAGCGCCCATCGGCGGTAGTATCGGTGTCTCCACACACCTCCTGTGTTCTGACGAGTTTCCATCGAACAGCGAGAATGAGCTGGCGCCTTCCGACTTCCCTCCTGTCCACAGGTCTGACTACTTTTCCTGCGACGACTGCGGTCACGAACGCAAAATCGGCAGACGACGTCTGCACTCGGTCAATTTCTCTAAAAAGGATGAGAACGTCTCGTTTTCACCCCACGACCCTGTACAAACCCTGCATGTTCTGCTTCGAAACAAAGCGTGAGCTTGTTGACTTCTGATTACTTGATTCTCGACTGACATTCATGCTATTTAACAAGTTCGAAGTGCCAGACGGTTTCGTTAACACATTTAAAGATTTCATTGATGTTTGTGGAGTCTACGGCAGGATCTTTTGATCGAATTTGCTTAAAGCACCCGATTCTTTCAAGTCTACTACATGGGCCGATTTAGCACCAACAAATGCGGAAAAGTTTGTCAAACTTGACTAAAATTAATTTGATAAGTTCCGATGTGAAGTGCTTAATCGCCTGAAAGTGCAAAAGTTTATCCTAGTCTGAGCTAGTGATTCATTGTATTAGTTGCGAAATCATTGTCCTCGCGTGGTTTGAAGATGTTTATTTCCACACGCAGGAAAAACGCCCGTCGATCAGAACGCCGCAGAAGGCACAACAGCTTCACTGCGTCCAGTATCACTCTGACGGAAATGCAGACGTCCAGTGGTGGCATTTCGCCTATGCCTCCCGCAGGTCCAATTAATAATAAGCAGAGGCGGAAACATCTGCGAAAATGCAGAAGTGACGAGTGTACTCGAGACCAGGCACTTGATCGACAGGGGACAGAGAAAACCCCAGTTGAGAAAGAACTGGGTCAGATTTCCGCCGAAAATGCCTCCAGCGAGGCGGCTTCCAATTGTAGGCTTAATTTTATGCTCATGGATGCGTTTCACACCTAAGAAAATGCCTCAATGCATTTTGTCTTTCTTCTTATAACAAAATCACTGAAATCAACATCTGTTGTTTTTCTGATCACTGCCGAATTCTACTGATTAATATTGTGCGAATCCTAAGTTGCTGTGTACATATGTGTGTGGCTGAATTCTTACTTTTATGTATAATGATTACTTAGGTGCTATTATATCAGAAAAGAACTACATTTTGTTGTCGCTGAATATCTCCTTTTTACTTATATCTTGATTTACTGCAGATACTACAAACTGGTTACGCCACATAGGACATTATTCAACAACTTTACGAATTGTGTTCAGTTAGGTCACATATTTGTTGACTGATTTCATGACTTCACGAATTGTGTTCATTTAGGTCACATATTTGTCTACTGATTTCATGACTTTGATTACTGCCGTTCTTGTGATCCGTCTTTTTTATATGACACTATCATGATAAGTCATTGTGAGGTCGATCTGTGCGTAAGGTGTCTTATTAATTTTTAGGTTGTGATGAAGCACCTCATATGTCTTCATCATGTCCTGGAAATGAGGAAAAGAGCGAAGAGTCCGATGCAACGCAATTATCAACTGTTCTACCAACCACCTCGACCACTCCTGCTGGCAATGAAGCTGGGCCGCCAAGAATGTGCAATGGAAGGGGCCTTATGAGCAAAGACCAGCTAATGCGCAATCCGCATGCCACCACGTGTCCTGTTCCGTTGACTGCAGATGTAATATTAGAATTGGATGAGGAGTAATGTCTTTCAAACATACCTCCTTGTAATTTATGTAGGGTTCATAGCGTGGTCTTATCTAATAAACATGCAAAAGCGCGAAAGCCTCCTTTTTTAATGCAATCGAATAATTATGAGATGGGTGAAATGAAGGAATTGTTTGTCTAGGGTACCCATTAGTAGGTGCGAATGGTGAAAGTTCTCGTGAAGTCATTGTGGACACTAGTGGTTTTGACGACATTCTGTTCGTTACTGACAGAGGGATTTAGTGAATTCCAAACTAATTCAGGTATTAATTATAGTAAAGGAACCATCTGTGTAACCTGGGCTCAAATGCGGTAGGATTTTTACTGTGTTAAATCCTAGTCAGTAGGTTTTGTTTTCCTATTCCTGGAAGGAGTCTGATACTGAGCCACTAATCATTGACAAATTCGTTAGTGCTAGGATTAACTTTGTGTGAATTCAAAAATTAAATAACATGGTGTTGGCTTTTAATTGTCTATTTATTTAAGTTATCTGTAAAATAATTTTGAGAAGCTCAATCATTTTATGGAAAAATGAAATAATAAACTCAGCGCAGCCTTGAAGTTCGTTTTACTTTTTGGTTGGTTGTGCGGCGATTCAGTTTGCAGCTTTTGTGGTCTATTGGTCCCGTCATCATGCCACTTAAGCTTAACTTTAAGCGAACACATCGGTATAACGTGTCCGCCAAAGATTTGTTTGTTATCCCCATATATACGCTAGATGCATCATGCGTGGAATACACAGTTTCTCCTTCAACTACCGGGCGCGATGCTCTTGAATATGTGGCTCAACGTCTAGATATTGAATATGTAAAATTGTTTTCTTGACTGAAATCGCTTTTAGACCTGCTTTTTTGGATTTCGATACGAATCCTGGACAGACAACCAAAGATGGCTTTTCTTAAACAAGCCAGTTAAAAAGCAGTTGGATAAATACGCCCGTCAGCACGCTCTTGTCTTGAACATTATGCTGTTTATAGATAACCCACAATACCTTCCAGACCCAAAACTACGGTACGCATGCCTATGTGTATATAGTCAAATATTTGCTTGACCTTTTGTACCATTTCCTTATCTCTTTTTTTTAATTAAACATTCTGAATGTGGCTATCAGATACTTTAATCACTTTCCATGTTACATTAAATTATGCTCTCTTATTAAGACCTGTATTTAGGCCTTTTCAGCCATTTTACTTTCTAAATTTTTCTCATACTGTTAATTTTATTCTTTTGTTTTATAGGCATTCATTTTCACGTCTTATCTCCTTTTTTACACGAATATTAAAAATCTTATGCCCTATGCCATTCAAAAACACTACTGTGGTTTTTTGCCAACGCATTTGACTTTTTTGTGCAAACTCGAGTTAAAGGAATCTTTCTATGTTTAATATTCATTGACCTGAGTTTATAAAGACTGATATTTTTAGTAATATCCATGCTTTAAACGTTTTCGGCACCTACTTTTCAGACGTCAGTTCTACCTTCAATTGAGACAAGATGTACTAACTAAGCAACTGAAGATTGCATCTAAGCAAGCTATTAAGCTTATGGCATATAGTCTTCAAGGTTAGTTCTTGTTGCATGCTACTGTTTATGGTACGCTATTCTATTTACAATTGTTGGCTTCGAACGTTCAATCTCTTGTAGCTGAGTACGGTGATTTTGTTGACTTCGAAACCACTGCCCACTTGTGGCGTGAAAGACCAATGGTCCCAACGGTAAGACCATATCTTTTACTTCCCGGTGATTTTTTTATATGTTTCATCATCATATTTTTATGGCTGAAAATTTAGTCACTATGAAATATGAGCTATTATTCAACTCTGCTTCACATGTTCATTTAAGTAAATATCGTTTTGGCCTGTACTGATTCGTCACAATTCGCAGTAACACTTGGTATTCAAAATTGGCTGAATTGCCCTCAAATTGGATATCATCAAGGAATTTGCCATGCTGCTTACGTATTAACGCTTTCTCTCATAAATAAATGTAGGTATAAGATGTAAGTAGGTATAAGATCAATTACGTCTTCAACTTCTAGTACTTTTTTCAGATAAATAAGGCTGCTTTACATTTGTGACTGTAATGAGTGCACAAGTCTCAAATTGGTCGACTAGTAGCGCGTTTTTTACTTCGGGACACATAAATTACCTATTCCAAACTCCCAATCGTTCGTATATTTGATTTTTGATTCGGATTTGATACCTGTAAATGCGATCAGAAAAAACGAGCTTTACGGTAATTGCATAATTAAAATCTCCCATTAGAATTTACAGCTCTTTGATCAATAATCAATTATTCCTATCACATTAGTCGGCCATTGGAGGAAGCGTTGAGCTTGGGAGCCTCGAACACATCGATGATATCGTCTGGGGCTACTGCCAACTGCGTGGAGTCAGTCAGGACAACGCCATATGGTACTACCTGGACGAGATCCGCAAACTTTCCAATTACGGTGTTCAACTCTTCTTTGGTTCTGTAAGTGGTTTACTAATACAAATCTAGCACCAGAGTTGCCAACATGGACGCTCAATGCTTATGTCCTTTTTCCTCCACGTGCTAAATTCATTTTAATAGTTATCAGTCCTCTGAAATGTCATTGACGTACAATGCATTAATAAGTGTCCGGCCAACACATAATCAGTCATCTGATCTCAGTTACGCGTGCCTGTTCTCTGTTAGACAGTCACTGGCGAAGCCGCGCAACTTGGGGTGTCTCGGAACGGTTTGACAATATCAACAATATCTCCTCTCAACTCCTCCGTTTCAAAACAAAAGTAAGCAATGTGGCTGCCCCTTACTGCTAATTGGGGTTTAAAATTGTACGTTGAGAAATCGAAATCATGGTTTGCGTATTTACGGAACGCAGGCGACTTTTTGCGCACCGCTAATACCGAGTTTTACACTTTGTACTCCTAATGGAGACTAAGGCATACAAGCCGCCTCCAGATGTCCTGGGGTTTTTTTGGCACGGCTGCCTGTGTGTTTGCCCAAGTGGGCACGCGTGCACCCAACCAATCAGCTTTCATGTCGTTCCTGATTGGCTCTCACTTCCATCGACCGGACGGCCGATTTGCTTCCGTTCTGGAGCATTTTGCACTTTTCGGCCCTGCAACGACATATTTTCAGTTATTTGGTCATCATTTGGTATTTTCCCGAAATTTTAAAATACCCGATCCGCTAGAGAATAGTGTGGAGGCCTGTCACACCTCGTAAACAAGCATAATTTAACACTCCGATTATTCATATCTCAGATTTTTCGCCTCATGAACCATTATGAACTGTTTGGTTTTTCCGTCGTGAAAAATCGGTAAACAGAAGGTGGCGTCTCTCTCCAAAATAATTGAATAGTGTGGCAAGGAGCTTTGCACCCTAGTGCTTCTAATCTCACCTTTTCTTGGGACATTTCCCACTCGGATAATTGGCCACATGATCTTCTCTTCTGTCACAATAAATTCTGATATTTGCGGACTTTTCACGACTTATGGTACTGCCACAATCAGCCTCGATTCGCACAGTGCTATTTGTAGATTTATCATAATGCTAAATATCGAGGGTGGACTGTAGATGATTTTTTGATTTCCCCAAAATACTTTGTCGGATGTGCCATCCGGGACACTAATTTTAGGAAAACTACGATATTTGCTTTAGATGGGAGGATATAAAGGATTTGGCCTACTCTCGGAAGACATTTACAATCCAGCTTCTCAAGAAAACGAAGCCCATACACTTTGTCTTCGTAAGTTCAAATCTGCCTCGGAATCTGCCATCTTGGCTAGTTTTTTTAACAAAAACACCCAGTTGCAGTTTATGACTGAAGCCAAAAATAGGAACACTGAAGTTAAAAATGACAATTATTTTCTAGGAGGATACACAGGATGCGAGGTATCTGTGGAATTTCTGCATACAAATGCACAACAGCTACATCCATTATTGGACACACGTTAGGTAAGTACGTGATTGGTTATTTTCGAATTTGGACACAGACGTTAGGTAAGTGTGTGATTGGTTATTTTCAAACTCCATAAAATCTGCGTTATGAAACAATCTCATTGGCTGCTTCGAGACCAAAGTACCCACTCAGTTTTGCTCCGATTGTATTCGTGCAGTTGAATTCGTGGGATCAGCTAGCACTTGGCGCCCAGTGCGAATTGGGACGTGTTTAGCGAATCCCAATTGTGCGGAAAAGTCCCCAGAGTATTCCATGATCTACCAATGGGGAGTAGAATAAGCTACCTGGCCGAATGGGTGACTGCGCTGAACGTTTGACGGAATAATCAAATCCTGAGGGTAGTATGACTCAATTCACGTGGTCCCACCAAATTCCCCCTTGCAGTCGCGTCGGCCATAGCCAGCGTCTTCTTTAGTCACAAAAACGTTGCGCCTGACTGCAGCCTGCCTAATGGGATTATCTTGTTTTTTTTTCCTGTAGGACCAGTCAAGCAGCGCATGTTTCCGACCCACCGTAAGTGTGCCCACTTCAGACACCAATCGGGTCTGTGTGTACAGCTAACCAAACGATTACGAAGAGGGGCGCGTGCAGTCGGCTAAAAAATGACTCAGTTTGACTAAATCACGGGAAGACGCAAGCTGTCTTGTCTTAGTGTGAGTTGTATCAACCAGGTTGCTCCGGGCTGGTGCCTGGAATGGCTGAAGAGGCCATTCATCAGGTGCCCCAACCTGGTTTTGTATGTCGCCTCACCGTATGAAAAGTCGTACACGAAAAACGAAGGTCATTGACTAAATGGCCAAATGAGTGGAATGCGTAGTGGGGCTGGTATGTAAAGAAGTGTTGAAGGCCCTGGCATGTTGTCTTGAACCACTACGGGGCCACTGCGGCAGTCTACGCCGAATACGTTACTCTGTGTTCCCGCGAAGATGGCGAAGACCGGAGTGGAGAAGGCACAACCGTTTACGAGACAGCTCAACCAAGTTGTGTCGTGCACAATTACGGTTCGGTGGACATGTACAGAAATAAATACAGGTGTCTGTGAGGTCACATGAATAAAACGGGTGGTGGTGGTGGGACGTACAGAGTGGTTAATGAACCAGCGGCCTCACGTGACTGACGGGCAGGTCGTGAGAAGGAGGGACGGGTGCTGAAGGCAGCTGCGAGGACTGGGTTATTGGACATGAATCAACGCGAATCCCTACAGAAGTGTCCACGTGAATGATGGGGGCGTCTGACCGCGACGAGTGTTGTCACACTTCACAATTCTCATCGATTCTAAACTGGTGTAATTCACGAACAGTCGACCTGGTCTCGTGCAGCCTGAGTCCCAGTGTATGCTTCAACTTCAGAACTCGTAATCTTGTAGAGAGCTGCTTCGTGCCAGTGGCATTCAACTTCCAACGTCTACATCCTCAGTATGAACTTGAATGAAACTGGTTTGCATGGCATGGTGAAAATCCGCCTTAACTATTTCGGTGCATGGAAGGCTGATTGATTGTGCCTGAGAATGTCGACATTTTGCCTTTGTGCTTGCCGCCAAAACTGGAAAACACTCAAAGAAACAAGGAGGTTTGAAGTAAACTGAAAATTTGACTCTGCAAGGACCACCAGCTCCGACTGCATGCGTGCGTTTGACCTCGAGTGTTTCTACTTGCTTCGATTTCTTCTTCTTCTTCTTCTTTTTCATTCAGCCCACTTGCGATTTTGGAGGCAACTCACCAAAATTTTCAAGCAAATGTACGTTAGTTTTTCTTAATGTTCTTGTGTCTGCCAAAATCGATGTACATACTGTATCTACTGCATAGTGTAGATACTGTACGTGATGGAAACGTTTGTTATGTTAATTATATTAGGTGTCTGGCTTAAATTTTGCAGATTTTCTCGTCGATCTAATATTTAAAACAGAAATATTTTCGAGGTCTTTTGCGGTTTTGAAAGGAGTGGACATAAGGTTTCAGAAAATCGAACGAGTTACACAACCCCTCCAAGTACTAGAGTTTACGACCATGGCAACTGATAAACAACGCATTCCATGGCACAGCATTTGATACGAATTCCATCTAGGAACAAATGTTGCTTCTAAAGCACAGGAAGAATCAATCTGTAGTGTTCTTGGTGTCGATGACTTTATTGCTTCGAAATCTGCAAATTTCTTTCGCGACGGTATTCGTTTGGTACCTGAGAGCTGGCACAAGACCATTGAAGATGATGGACAATATTTCCAAAACTAAATTCGTTGTTTCCTACTTTTTATATGAAATAAATCTGCTGAACCATCTGACATACTCCTAACGCTTAGATGGAAGCAATCTTGTTACTGTGGCATTTGCTCGCCGCCTTGTACGTTGGCGGTAAACACAACAGGAAGTGAATCTGGAAAAATACCGAAGATACGAATGCAGTTGTGTTTGATTGTTTTTCTTTCGCCAACTTTAGGCGGTTCGGAGACGTCAGGTGTGGTGGTCAACAACTCCAATTCGACAACCACAATCGGCAGCGTCGCTTCGATGCACGCCGCTATCAGCCAAGTGACGAACAATTCACTCACGTCGCTGCAGCAGCCCCACACCAGCCATCCGGTCAGCTCCTCTTTGCCTGCCTGCGGTTCCACGGACGCGGAACACGAGGCGGCGAAGCCCCACCAAACAACACCGACCCCCGAGTACAATGCACAAGACGTGGGCGAAGGCAAAGCCCTGATGGGTCAGTGGAGTGTCCGCAGTGCCGCTGACACGTTGGACTCGCAGATGGTCGCAAACCGCTGCGTGGCCTGCCTCCCCGTCGCGAGATGTCTTCGAAGAGGCACCGGGTCAAAACTGTCGGGTCAAGCAACCTTGGGTGGTTTGTCACCGCCGTCGTCGCCGCCACCACCGCAATCCGTCGATTCAACACCCCTGAGGAGGCGGCACCATCACCACAGAAAGCATCGCCTACAGCAGACTCAACTGCCTGTTACACAGGGCACTACGAGTGCTCAGGAGGCGGCCGCTCGCTACGACATGAGCCTAGCCGACTCCTCGTCGGGGTCTTCTAGCGAGTCTGAGTTCGAGTCCGATGTGTGTTCGACGAGTGCGGAGACAAGTTCTTCCAGTAACTCCTCGCGAAGGGGAGATGGTGACGGCGATCCACAGCAGCAGCAGCAGCAGCAGCACGGTTTTCGTCGACTGCTTGCCGGATCCCACACCGGTGTTGGAGCCGCAGTGTCCCTTCGCCCCATCCTATCAAGCTTCAATCAGCATCACTATCGACTGCAGCAGAACTGGCGAGAGGAGGGAATTGTGCCGGGACAAAACCAACGTGGCTCCTTGGCACGACAAATTCCCGTCGCAGATGGAAAGTCGATTACGGGAGAGGGTCACGGTTGGCTTGCCTCGGCCAAGCGCCTCACGAGTGCGCTGTCTGAATCGCTAACTCGCCGGGCGTTGTCCGCAAATGCCCCGGCTGTTAGTAAGGCTTCACCTTCACCTACACCGCAGGCAAGAACTCGCTTTTTGTGGTATTTAGGCGTACTGGTTTTGGTCCTTTTTTTCTAATTTCTGCATGTGTAATCCTTTAGTTGCTGGCCCGCGCGCCGAAATCGATTGGAATCGCTCAGGTAATTCGCCCAGAACCAGCTACCATCAATTCCACGTCTTCGTCGTTGGAGGGTGGAGGAGGGGCGATTGACGAGAACCACCGCAGACCCAACAGACCTCCGCTGCCCCCGGGGGGAGCAGGAGGCGGTGGGGGGCCGGTGAGACACCCGCCCCTCGGGTACAACCCCAACGCTCCGCAAAGAGGCGCCTCCGCGGGACCGGCTACTTTAGGGACAACTCCCTCCACTGCTGCCGGCTCGTCTTCTTCCTACCCTCTGCATCGCTCGCTCTACGAGGTGCCCGCTGAAACCCGCTTTCAGATCTGCCTCCAGCCGCCGAGTCCACACGGCAGCCAGGAGGAGGCCTCGTGGTGCCTTGTCCAGCACCCCGGCGTGTGGATCAACCAGATGAACACCGCCTCCAACATCACAGAACCTCGGCAACAGGCCCAGCAGCAGGTCTACTTTGAGGGCAAATCAGTGCAGCCGACGACAAGCAACTCACAGCAGGTCATGATCTCTTCCTCGATGACCTCGTCGTCTACGTCGACGTCGACTTCGTCGGCAGGAGCGGTTGCTGTGGCGGCGTCGGTACCGCGCTCCAATTCCTCCTCACCTTCCAGTCCAGCGTCTTCAATCGTTGAGGACGAGATGATGCTGATGCTGATGGGGAGGGAAAAAGAGGACGATTCCTCGTCGACGATGTCGTATTCGGTGTGTGGCGGAGGCACAACGAGTGGGAAGACGGCGGCGGTTGTTGCGCCCATTCAAAAGCAGCCACCGGACCATCAACAGCAGCAGCAGCAGCAGCCGAGACAGCGATCGCTCTCTGGCAGTGGAAGTCCCCTCCACTTACTAACCAACTCTGACATCCACCAGCTGCTCAATCTGACCAAAATGAGGGTGCGTTTGAATGCCTTGCTCCTAGGCTGTGCACGTGCTGGTCATGTAGCTGGTTACTCAACGTCCTAACTTTGCATTAACCCAGTTTGAATTAGTTAAGCCAGCCACCTGCTCACAGCACGTCGCTGCGTGTGGAGGATCACGTAGGTACACTCGTCAATTGCTCTAAAACCTATCTCTGAATCTCGTTGATGTCCCCACCTCACTAAAATTGATCGGCCATTTGTGTTTCGAGTGACTAGATAAGACTACTTCTTACACTGCATTTAAAGTGCTGTCTCCTTAGCAAACTAATGGAATTGACTGGCAGATTTGACCAGAGTCTGATTCCTCAAGGAATTTCCTACATGTGCCCTGAGCAGCTTACAGACTTCTCACTTCACGTCGCCGCTAGCAACCTGACAAGCTTTCATGCGGTTGTATCAGAGAAATACACGGAATTCACGCGATTTTCACACGCAGATCTGAAATGACATCCTCCCCGGATGATTGCGTATGGGACTTATTTTCGAAGGCTCATTTGAATGTCAGCGTCGTTCGAGTTATCGTGTGGCCGTTTTTTTCGACAGGCACTTACTGACTGCACCCTAGGGCATGTAAGACTTTCATATCGTTCCATGACAGCAACTGTTGCAGTTCTGCTTGCAGAAGTGAGCGCATCACAAGGAAATGTTAGGTATCCCTAAATACCTATCATAGTCTGAAATGAGGCTGACTAGGTGTATGAAAGGATCGCTCGCAAGGTTTCGGAACACCGAACGACAAGTCTACATGAGTTACACAACCTCTCCGAATGTTAGAATTTACGACGATGGCAACAGATGAACAGCACATTCCATGGCACAGCATTTGATAAGAATTCCATCAAGGAACAAGCGCTTCCAAAGAACGGGGGGATCAATTTGTTACGTCAACTTTGTGTCTTATGGAACGCGTAATTATTGGTATAAGGGTCTTAGAAGTGATTTCGATCATAGTGACCAGCCGCGTCGTCGAAAAATCAATACAGATTAAGTCACTCGCCTGGTAATATCTCCTAAATTGATATGAGATAAAGCATATCTACAATGACTCAATGCCAAATCTGCCAGTTTTGATTGGGCCATCCCAACTCCATCCACGCGAAAAGTTGGTCAAACGTTGCTCTTCGCCTCCGTAGGAGACGGCTTTGGTGCACCGTCTGTTGGCGGAGTACCGTCAGACGCTGCTGCTCCAGCAGTCGCTCCACACCAACAGCATGAGTACGCCGAACCTCGCGGCAAGTCAGGAGCTCAACACCGCTTCAAGCGCCAACGGACCTTCCAATTCTGGAAATGGTGGTGGCGGCGTAGCTGCGCAGTCCTTCGGAGCGAACTGCTGCCATCAGCGTTGCAACGCTCAGCGGCGAACGGAGTCTCGCGAGCCGAGTGGATCGTGCCCGGAGTAAGCGAGGGTTCGAGTGTAGTTGTGATTGGTATTTGTGTAAATCGCGGTCTGGGATTGGCCCGCTTTGGTTGTAGCCCTCCAAATCAGACTAAACAGATTACGTACTTATTTCAAATGAGTAGTCAAGCAAGTTGCTTAAAGCCAAAAAGCCCCTCCCTTCCCTAGTTGTTGATTCTCTTGTTTTGTCATATGTGTCTAGCATTAGGCCAATGTGCGGCTAGCGCAGGTTGATTAGACACGGATAGTGAGTAGTACTTAACACGAACGAAAATGTTTCTGTAGGGTCATTATTCGCATCTATAACTTGCCTTTATTCGGCTAAAATATGGTACTCCACTCTTATTAACGCTGTCAACCAATGATATATGGTTAATTATTTTAAATATGCCACCCAAAAGGCAAAAAATCAATCCATCAGCAATAATGTTAGCCAAATTCTTCTAGCTTTTCCTTTTTGCCATGCGTGTTTTAATTCATTAAAATGGACAAAATGGCCGACTTCAAGTAAGCCAATCCCTGTTGCTCTACGTGACGTCACATAGCATCATTTGTCTCCTTGCCATAGCAACGGCGGCAGCAACCGTGGTAACAACAGAACGTCGTGTTGCGCCCACCAGACTCCACGTGGTCACCAACTTTTCGAGTCGTCTAACTACGTGAATGCCTGTGCCTTCCAGTGCCACCATGGCTGTCTGTGTGGCTCCAATCCCATGGTAATTTGAGCTTCAACTGAGAACTAGCCGTAGGCGCACTGTTCAAATGGACTGAAGCTGCTTTCACTTGAAATTTAGCAAACTAGCGTGCACAGCACAACGGACAACGACTCAAACGCCACATTCAGAGTGCTCTCTGAGGCGGACGGCGGCCGGAACCAATATCCAAGCAGTCGCCATGGCAGCAACCACCATCGTCATCATCGTGAGCATCATCATTTTCACCAGCACCACTACGAGGACTCGTGCACCAACAGCAGTGACCTCATGACCTCGTCGATTTGCTCTCAACAGGGCTGGAACATGGTTGCCAAGTCGAGCTCTTTCCACCACCAGCCCCACTGCCTGGGCAGTGGCCGGTCACGACACGCGCATGAGATGTGCAAGTCGGCAACACCCGGTTAGTGACTGGAATTGTGACTGGATAGACCCACTACTTATAAACTGATTAGTAGTTTGTTTTTTGCAAAAATCCACCCATTGTACTAGTTGACAAGGGAGGTGAGAACTCGTTGTATAGCTTGGGTGTGCTACGTAAGTAGACATTATTTTAACTCGATTTAGATAACTTTCGTCGGCAAACACGTTGTGACAGTCCCGTTAAAGCTGACCTTCCGGACATGATTGTCGGTTTGCCACAGTCGACATCGGGACAAGTGCATGAGACCACAGAACGGCGTATAAGCAGCGACCTCACAGCAGCCAATTCCCCGCCACAACTATCTGCTGGTTTCGGTCGCAGCAGAACCTTCACACACTCACCGCCTGGCCACGTGGGAATGCGCGTGGCCTTCGCGCACGACTTCGAAAGAGGCGGCGGCAGTGGACATCCGCTAGTCGGGGAATACGAAAATCTCGAGGTGATGGTGCTAGCTTCGACTCACATTCCCACGTATTCGTGAAAAATCTTCACATTTCTCATCTTTTTCAGGCCGATTCGCCGCCTGTTAGCTCCGTCAACCCGAAATCCACCACCGATGTTTCGGCCAAGTCTTCAAGCTCCGATATTTCGTTCGAGGACTTCAAGTTTACCCAGCGGCTTCAACGACGCAACCCCAAGTCGAAACTCTCGACTGCCCAGTGTGAGGCGTCGTGTGACCGACATCACAGCTGTGTCCACCGAGGCCACCACGACTGCCGCTGCGTGAACGCATCTGCTGCACCGTCAAAACGGTCAACCCTTCCGAGCACGTCGTGCGACGATGGAGGTGGGCACGTCCAACTGTGCCGTGAGCACCTTCGAGCCTTGGAGAAACTCAAAGCACCGAAAGACGTCCACGTCGACACTCCCATGATTCAACGGAGGAAGCAGAAGAGGAAGGCGCAGAAGCACAAGCAGCCCTGTTACAGCTACTGTTCGCATCGATTCGTAGGGAAGGCGCATTCCTTCGATCCCTACCAACAGAAGTCATCCTCGCTGAGACACAGGTGCTCCGCGAGTCCTGTTTTCAGTGTCGAGGGTGTTGAGTCGCGGTGTGATTTATGTCGCAGACAGCGACGGTGGAGAGTGGACTTTGGAAGGCGGAGGTGTTCCTGTGAAGGCGCAGGTGGATCCGACGACAACGGTGGAGCTTCTGACGAGGAGGAAGACGAGGAGGACGGATTCTCGTCTTCGCGCGCCGCAAGCGACTCCTCCCTGACCTCCTCCCTGCCTGCTGGCATTCGAGACGCCGCTTCGATCATGGTCTCGTCTTACGAGTTTGAGTGCCAGCAGCAGCAGCATCAGCAGTCTCACACGTCCTTCGACAGCGTCAGTGGTGGCGCTGCATTTCGTCGATGCAGAAACAAACCACCGACGCCCAAACCAGCTGAAGATAGACGCGGGCTGCCAAGTCGCATGCAGCACGTCAACTTTTGCGATGAGAAGCATAAAATTACCGCGAAAACCGGACGAGCGATGCAAGTAAGGCAACAGGGAAGAAGTCAAAGGCTGTGGTAGTGGCGTGTCTCTACGTGTCTTCCCGTTTTTGTAGATCAGTCCACCGCAGAAGCTCGCGGTTTCCCCACCAACTGCTGAAGGTGTGGGGAGGGCACAGCGTCCACGGACGCTTCTACCTTCATCGGCGTCTTCTCAGATGGAAGATCGCCAGCCAGACACGCCATCGACGCGACACGGCGGAAGACTGGCTGGGAGTCGAGAGGTTACGCCAGTGCGACGTGTTGGAGGAGCAGGCGGAGGCAATTTGAGGCTGTCACGGACCTTGACCCCCGACGGCCCAACCAACTTTCAGACGGGTGGAAGCGGCGGTGCAACGCCGGGCGGAGGTGGCCTGCTCTACACCGCGTCGATGACCTTCACGCCCTCGTCTTCTTCGACGGCGTCTGCGCGCGGACAGAAGTCCGGTGGATCGACTGGAGCTGAGACAAACGCTAGTGGAAAGGAAAATATGCAACAGACGCGGTTTCAGAGAGGTCTCGCGTACAATTCGCCCTCGGCAGCATCAAATAGGGGCAGTGAGGTTTGTTCAGCTAACCATTTTGCGTAATACACGACGCTCAAGTTAGGCATTTGTGCTCTACGCGAAACCACGGCTGAATTCGGCGTGTCTCCATGCATTACACTCACTTACCAGAGGCTTCTTGTAGATCGAGTTTTGATTGAAGTTAATCGTCAAAATTCCTTTTTTAAAATCTGCTTTCATGGTAATGACCGACTCAGTTGGTACGAGGACGACGATTGGCTAATCCCCACCACTAATGTCCTTCCTGCCTTCTGCTTTATAGGAACGACCCAACCCCTTCTCCAAGAAGGCCCACACACCAGCTGAAAAGCGAAAAACCAACGTGATTTGATAGCTCCCCGGCCCCGCTCTCGGCCCGATCACGCCCTTTTGTGTTTAACGCTGACATTCATCAACAACTCTACTAAATCATTGTTAGTAATACTTCAGTATTCTGGTATTCCGGAAGGTCCGGTGGGGAATAAAAGGATTGAAACCGTTCGACTAGTCAATTTAACCCATATGTGCACGCACAAAGCAACAGTTGGTGATGAGCGACGAACAGGCTACCGCATTCGATGACATTCCAACTAATGAAAAACTAGGAAGCGTGAAGGATCGTCCACAACCAACTTCAGGAAAAAATTAATTTTTGTAGCAGCCAAATATAGCGAAAACAACCTCCCCGAAGGTGTCGTAGCGTCTTTATCTTGAGGGTGTAGTCCCGTTACAGATTGTGAGATGATGGCACTACTGAATAATTCAAAGTAGTGTGGCTAGCGTAGCCCTGATTCGCGGATTAGAGTTTAGTAAGCATACTTCGATGCAAAACATCGTTTTATATACATGTACAAAATAAATGGAGATACATGCAAACCAAGACCCAGAAAATAAACGTTCCGAATGTGATTTTGGGTTAGGAGTTTGGAGGAAGCGTGTTGGAGAGGGCAAAAAAGGGTTCCCCTGACGCCGCCGACGCTGTGACGGAGTTCAGGGACACAAACGACGCCGGTTGGAGATCGAGGTGGGACTTCGTTTCTTCGGGACCCTCCGCAGCCACGGCGTCTTCGCCGTACTTCCGCATCAGCCGACGCAGGTCCTTGCACTTCTGCGCCATGCGCGCACGCACCTTCACTGGGTGCACGCCGAAGCGTTGGTTGATTTTCGCTTTAAGGCACAAAACAAGATTACAAACCCTCATCTACCGTACTTAATTCAAATAAGTAGTAAGGCAAATTATGATATGTAGAGTGCGAGACCGGGACGGATGCAATCGCATCGGGCACTGGTAATTACAGACAACAGCCGAAGTCAAGTATTGACGCTGTTAGCTTGGTAAAGATCAGTGGTATTACTTAAACAGTGTTATTACGCAATCATTGGTCGGAGGAGGATCTTGATTGGTCAGTTGTTGGACGCAGCCATGTTGCGAAAGGCAAACCCATTGATCACGTTACGTGTTTACATGCGAGACGGCAGCGTAGCTTCCTTCGTGCCGGCAGAAAGGAATGTCCAGTAAAGAAGGCAATGTTGACAAGTCAAGGACATTCCCCGCGCACGCAACACATGAGGGGTGGCTAGCATCAAAAGCGCTCGTCCTTAATGACAGACTACCCAAAAACAATTCAGTAGGATGTGTTGAGGCAAAAACTGCAACCGACTAGGATGGTTTGGACAAGTTGGAGCAAACAATCTAGATGAGTACTGTGTGAAATAGAATTAACATTCTGCAGATGTTAAAAGGATGATTTTACACATGCGTGAACTTCCATTTAAACCGGGGGAACAAAGTTGCAGGAAAGTTTTAAGAAGGCGAGTCGATAGACGCGATCGGGACAAATTTTTACAACTGAAAATAAATGAGTACGTCTCAGAAAAAAGCTACTTTTTTTCTGTTAGTAGTAATGGGGAGTCGATTCGAACACCTCCCCTCATCTAGCGTACTTAATTTAAATAAGTAGTGAGGTAAATAGACAGGTAAGTTGGGCGATGACTTTGACTATTTTAAACATAGACGATCGACCTTGTTCTGTGCCTCGATCGCCAGTCGCGACAACTTGAAGACGAATCCACAGCATCGAGGCGGGTTAGAGAGGGGGGGCGATGTGGTTACTTACTGACAATGTATTGAACGAGGCGGGTTGGCAGACGATCCCTCGCCTCGCCATCGACCATGGACCTGCGTCCGTACACCGTGGAATGGGCCATTTGCCAGCGCGTGAAGAGGCAAGACATGAGGGCGCACGTGGCCCGAGTCCAGCCCTTGGATTCGAGGAATATCTGCCAGAAGCGCTCCCTCCGCTCGTTCATCGAGCCCTGGATCTGCTCCTCCACCTGTTGAATGACCTCGTCGGAGAGGAGGCTCGTGGCCTCCGTGCGAGTCCGCCGTGGACGACCTGCTAGAGGCAGGTCGTCCTCGTCCTCCAACTCACCATCAAACGAACTCAGTGGAGGCAACGGTGTGAGTTGGGGGATTTCAGACATCTCCGCGGAGAGGTTCTCCTCTGTGAATAAGAGGGAAATGCAAAACCGTCGGTTATTCAGGGATAAATGGACGGTACGAAGTAAATTCTTAAAGTGGAAAGCCGGAATTCGTCTGCTTGGCCGAGGCAGCTACGAAGACGTGTTGTGTACTTTGTCTTGTGCCAACGAATTCAAAGATGGCGCTCAGCAAGTGAGCCAGCTCAGTTAAACAAAACGACTCATGCTACCGAAGACCACAGGTTCTGACAGAATTGGGGAAATGCCACCACGTGAAGTCAGATACTGCTTTGCACACACATAGTTTGGGAATTTCAGCACAACGGCAACGTGCTGGCACGTGCTGCCACTTCCTAATTTTGAATAAACGCACCTGGATTTTCGGAAATTGAGCCCCCCTGATGCGTGAGCAACGAATTTCCATCCTTGGCGATTGTGGTGTCGTTGCCTGTTGGCACAGTTGGCGGCGGTTCTGGAACGGTGGAACAAGAATAACGCGTGAGCAATTGGCGAAATCATTACAGACCCAGCTTCACTAGGGGAAGCACACATCTCTGGCAAATGTTTGCGTCAAACGGGAACACCTGACCTCGCAAATTGGAGTTCCGGAAAGAAAGTAAGCAGTAGAGGAGGTACCGACTTACGTAGAAACGCGTTCAAGAGTTTGATCATGGCTGAGGGCTCTGGGGTTAATGAGTTTGCTGAAACAGTTGAGGTGAGCGGTAAAAGACCAACTGGGGGAGGCACTGCGTTAACGGCCCCCGTCACCCCCGCCGCCGCCGACGCCCCCTCCTCTTCCTCCTTCATGTCGACATTATCGAGTGTCGCCTCTTCTTCCACTTCCTCGCCGGACATCTGGAACACAAATCGACCGCTTTAGAAAGAGAGGCAGCAAGAGCTCAACATAGTGTATTTCAAATAAAAATATTTTCGTGGTCACTTGCTGTTTTGACAGGATCAGACGCAAGGTTTCAGAACACCCAACGACAAGTCTACGTGAATTACATAACCCCTTGGAATACCAGAGTACACGACGATGGAAACTGATAAACAGCACTGCATTCTCTTTGAATTCCAACAAGGAACAAATGCTGCTTCTAAAGTACAGGGGGAATCAATTTGTAGTGTTCTTAGTGCCGACTTTGTGTCTCACGAAACGTGGAGTTATTGGTACAAACGTTTTAGAAGTGGTGATTTCGATCTTGGTGACCAGCCGCGCCTCGAACAGCGGCCTAGAAAATTTGAAGAACCGGAGTTGGAAGGTCTGCTCAAATGAAGACTCGACGCCAAGTGCAACAAGAGCATAAAGCAGCTCAGTTAGGAGTCACCCAAACAGATAAATTACAAGTGTTTACGCCAAATGTCTTTTGACCGTGCACGGCCAAGGCAAACGTATGAACACATGCCTTTCACTGCCTGCCCGTTGGCAACAAGCAGTGAATGGACTTCTTGTGCAAAACTACGCCGAGTGATGAAAAGCAAACGCAAAAAAACATAGAACCGTGGATAGATCCCGGGTAACCTAGTACATCCACACCGAAACAGCACATCCACTTGAAGAAGGTTCTCCTGTGTATGTGGTGGTGGTGGTGGAGCGAACTGCATAAAACCGGTCAGACGGTAACTGCGAAACGCTGAATAAACTGAGCAAAGAGGCCAGAGATCAGGCCAGGGCCATTTACTCGACAAAGAAGTAGGCAAGTCATACTGCTGTTGCTGCATGACAAAGCTCGACGACCTCAGGTTGCATTGATGCAAGCCATGCGGACGACTTCACAGGACTACAACTTACAGCGGATCGAATGGTGGTGCGGATGACTCGAGGCAGGCTGTCTTGTAGCAGATGGTTTCGTCGTTCAGCTGCGGCCAGACGCGACCTCAAGTAATTGAGCTGACTGGACATTTGTCGGATTATCGCTACAAGCGACTCCCTTGGCAAATCCTACAAGGAGAACACTACCGGGTAAGTACAGGCTGGGCGTGGCCGAGGCTTTGTATGGCCGCTGTTACAAACATATTAGCCCACAAGAGCACAAAGTGTGGGCTAAGCCTACAAGGCTTGGGTTAAAGCCACGAAATTAGTCTTTTCACGGTTGGCCAAGTCTGAAAGTGACCTTAGGAAGGTGACACCTATTGACCTCCCCTCTCTGGGGCTATGAGATCGTCTGAGACTTATACCAGCATAACCACCCCTGTAATCGATGCGGTCGATCACAATGGGATGACTTGGAGCCTGCAGAGAGCACCAGCACAGACCCCCACGCCTACCGAGTGTTCCTTGTGCACAATAAGGCCCGTGTGAACGACAATGTCAATGGTGGCTTTCACGTGTGCGTAGGAATCGTCGGAAGTGTGAATATTATCGCGTCTAAGGTATGCTTTCACAGACCGCGCGGTGAGTGGTGTTAAAACGATGACTCACCAACACCGCCCGGCCTTCCGCGTGTGTGTGTGTGTGTGTGTGCCATTCAACACGTGTTTTCTAAATTGGGGTGTGAGAACTAGCGTTCTACGGTTTGGATATGTGCGAGTCACACACAGCTGAAAACAATTGAATGATGGATGGAAGAATCGAGGTGAATAAGGCAATCATTTAATCACGCTTCGAGACCTCGATTCGGGGGGTTGAGAACTACCACAACCACCAGGTACCCCTTGTTTCTGACCAATCAGTTCAAGTAAATCACTCAAAAAAGATTATCACGATTGAAAATAATTAAAACAAAATGCGGCGACGCTGACAATCAACTCTGCAAACTATTCCAAAACCATAGCAACGTTTTATGGACAGCTTTTCGAAGCCAAATCCGGTTATCAAGACGTGGTACGGCTGAATCGGTGGAAGCAATTTGACAGGCCCCCCTCTATCTGAAGCATCGAGCTCACAGCAGACACTTCGGACATAGTCTCTGTTAGGTGAAAACGCTGATTTTGAGCTGACGCATTATCGCAGAAAGGTCGCGCGTGACTACGTGACATCCCGCGCACCAAGTTCAACGTTAAACATTTAAGCTGTTCTAACCGAACAACGGTTACGAAGGCTAACGCAGATAATTGGCAGCTTGCAATTGGAAGCGCTCAGCGCGAAATAGCACCTGCCAAGGGAAAGTTTCGCCAAACTAGGTACAAAGATTACTTTGTAAACCTTTTGATGGATTAACGGAGGCAAATTTGACCGTTTCTCCCAACCGCCCAACGATAATTCTGACACTGCGACCTTGAAAATACCCCAGTTAGTAGGGATTACTACAAACAAACATTTGAGGGCGTCAAGAACGCACCAACTTTAAGCCAGTTTTGTGATTGACGAAGCGGAACGGTTCCTCTGCATCATCAGCTGCTAATGTGAGATGCAGTTTCAAATCACAAGCAACGCCTCTCGCTAGTCCTACGCTAAAAGCACACGAATAAACACACGGACTGAACACAAACACAGCAGTAGAGGCGCTCGCAGAAATGGCACACACACACGCACACACGTGCACGGGTCGATATCCGTGTGTGTGTATGTGTTTGCATACGTGGTATGTGTGTGTGTGTGTGCATGAATGGTGATTGTGTGTGTGTGTGCGTGTGTGTCGGTTCTGAGGGCACAAATACTACGCACACGCACACAATTATTGACCTGTACCAGGTTGTGTGTGTGTGTGTGTGTGTGGTGGGGAAGGGTAAGGGCGAACAACCGCGTGTGCCTGAATACAGGCTTTCACATACACACAGACGCGCGTGTGTGTGTAAGCGTATGCGTGTGTGTATGTGTGCACACGAGGGCAGCCTACTATGACACGATAATCGTTACAGTAATTTGTCTCAGGAGGTTTTGTGTGGAAATCGACAACTGACAGATTGTCAGAGCGAAACACATGGAATCAAACCACTGGGTAACCAAATACGACCATCTACATCATGGGAAGGGGCTCAATACCGCAGGTTTTACCGAAATTCAAGTTGGAAACACATTTTAAACATGTTTCGTATTAAGGAGGTCTCATAGGCAGACATGTGTTCTCATTTACTGTCACATTACTGAATAAGACAGTGAAGCATGGACTAGAGGATCAGCTGTACATGTTCCAAGGCAACAGACACAACAATTGGATAATAACGAAATATACAAGAAAAGAAAAACAGTTCATTCCAGCGAAATATTTTCGATAATGAAAACAGACGCGTAAACGGAAAGTTGGTACTGTGGAGCTATTGAGCAACACAATTCAATTCACTGTTTGACGGCTAAAAACACCGATGTTTTTGCAGATTCGGTGCTCTGAATGTGATTATTAATCGTTTAAATATGCAGTCTATGTTAAATATAGAGCACAGGTTTGAGTTTTAGTTATGCTAGTTAAGGAGTGAAAAAAAACGTAAAAATGTGCCAGAAACTGCATTCGCTTCTTAGTAAATGTTTTGCATTTTATAACTAATGAAGGTTACATAAAGGAAGCTGATCAAAAAGGGCAAAATTAGTTTCGAGCCAGCTCATCGCAATCCAACCCAAGATCTTATTTTTGCGTCATGTCGTCCAAATTATGACTTAAAATAGTAAATTTAGTAACACTTTTCGAATGATAAATAGTCAAGTTCATTAGTCAACAACAAAAAGTCCTCGCTTTCAAATGCCGGAAAAGGAATGGCTTAAAAAAAGACATTTCTACGTGGAATGCAAATAAATAAACACTGGATTACATGATGGCCTTGAAAGACAAGTGAATAGAATCTTCGGTCTTAGCATTAAATCTATAGCACAGTAAAAAAACCGAAAGATCTTTCGTTTGCTCCATAAAAGCTAAAAATACTGTAAAACACCATTTGAGGCACTAGAAAGAGAGTAAACAACAACCTTTGCTCGTTATTTCAAAACTATCACAAAAAATAACAAAATAATGATGCACGTTTACGGATAGGCAGCTATCAAAGACGTGAGACCAGTGATGAAGACAATAATATTGCCAAATTTCTTTAAATAAAACAACTAAATAGGGATGAGGGGACAAACACGGCAGCAAAAATGCCATGTTAAGCATCAAGATAAGTCAATCTCTGTATTTGTTTGAATTTGGTGCTAAGGCATTAAAAATAGTGCAACGTGTACGCATAAAATATGAGCAGGTATTATAAAAATACAGGGATTCTTTAAATAGCAGGGCACCTTAATTTGTAAGTTAATCATATTCTAATACCCCAGTACCTCAAATGTATGAGAGGTGAATAATTCTATTAACTGGGGAAAACAGGCAACTGAATATAAAATTATCATGATTATAAGGATTGCATTTGCAAACTTTTTATTCGCAGACATTTACAATCAAAATGCTATTGTATAAACACTGATATGCGTTTCAGAGAAAAAAAGTAAATTTCATATAGAGACCAACAAAAACTGTTCCGACTACTTTATTATTCCTCACATTCTATGATAACAAAATTTGGTAGAATAAAAAATCACCAGTGATTTTACTAAAATCAAGAACAAGCTGTGAAAAGGGTTAGTGCTCATGTGCCCAAAAATATTCCGTTTGCCTAACTGCTTCAGCATAAATCATTGTTCAGAAAAATCAAACAGTGAATATACCAGCAAAATTTCCAATCCTGATGTTCCTTCAACGGGGGTACCATTCATTTCGAATAACAACAACTAACGAATTCGCACACAACTACTCATAAATAAATAAATTGCGCCCTTACCGAAACCTTGATAAACAAAACGTTAAAACAGTTATCATGTAACTTGCTTGTTGCATATTTTTGCATTAACTCTTACTAATTTTTTACCAAATATTTGTGGCGCCATGGAAAATTGACTAAGATATAAAATCTTACATTAAATTATAAAAATGCATCTGCGAATATAGACTATTATTTGGCATTCTCAGTTGCAATATCTTAGCCCTAACACAAAGACGCAATGTCATTAAAAAGTGTACACAAAATTTCGAATTTAATACCTATTATGAAATTTTTAATTACATTTTTCACAAAGTAAAATTATCTTAGTATATCATGCTCATGTTAACGTTTAGTCATTAAAAAAGAGCTTTTAAGTTTTATGATCTCCTTATTTATAAAATTATGAAACAATACATACTACGACATTTGTTGCAGTTAATCTTTGGCCCGTAGACTTGATGTTGGACTTTAAGACGCCGCGGCTGTTCGAAAAGCTTGTACTTTTCTATTTGCCAAGGTTACACAAGGTGTTTGTCTGTTTAACATTTTTATTGGGTTCTTTGATGCGAAGATTTACACGCACAGTAGACTTTTTCTATAAAGTTTGGCAAAATGAGATAGTAGCATTTCAAGTAAACTCTCTATGATTCAACTTTCAAATTTCATATTTTGTACTTTTTATTTGCCGACTGTTTAACATTTTTTCTGGAGTGTCAGAATTTTAGAATATTTTTTTGTCAGTTAAGGTCATTTAATTTTTTTGGCATTACTTCGAATGTTGTACAATTAAGTAACATTTTCGCGGTCTTCGGCTTAGTTATTAATGTGCGTTTAATTTGTAAACTTCGTTAAAGGCTAAA